AATATGAATAATATTTTTGTTCTGTAGTCATAAAATAAAAAAATATAGAAACTATAATACATGAACTACTAAAAATATTTTAAAACTTATCAAAATAAAAGTCATTTTAGATTCAGAAAAATTGTTCAACCAAGAAATATAAACAATATGAATAAAGGGCGCAATTAACAAAAATAGGAAAAACCCTAATGCAGAATATATTTCTGATGGGTAGCACATGCATATCATTGTAAAACATCTTTGCAAATTGCTCGAGTTGTGTTCAATCATTGGATATTTATATGCTTCCCTGCATTTTTGTAAATGTCAAAATAAATATATAATTAGTTTTCTTACATTCATTTTTCTGATATAGGGACATATAGAGCTTATTGTGGTGTATTGTGAAATAGAGCTTTGAAACTATGATTCCCTACACATTTAAAAATGCCCAAGTGATTAATTATTATTTTTTAATTATTATCATGCATAGATACATACTCTGGGGATTATTAAAGAGACCAGGGATAGTGTGTATGCGCTTTTAAGTATTTTTCAACTAAATTTACAAAAGAAAAAAATGCTGACAAACAATTCCTTCAAAAAGTTAAAATTTCAAATAAAATGAATTGGCCTATGTTTATTTGAACATCTTAAAGAGCAGCAGTGGTTTTTCACTCGGGAATTAAAGTGATAGACTGAAAATAAAAGGAGATCAGAGGGTTTGGCAACTGGACACTCATGTTCCACCATTCAAATTTACTCATGTTGACCTCTTTGCCTCTTGGTTGAATTGTCAGACTGAATTGTCCTTCAGATGGCTTCCACATCCAGTCTAGCAGATCAGTCTAGCAATCAATGCCTTTCTCCAAACATGGCCTACCAGACTATACTCTCTCCCTACTTTTTCCATGATCTCTTGTACTCTTCACCACCTCATAACTCTCAGAGTCAAGACAATTCTCACAATTTCTTTAAGGTAGGCCCAACTTTGGTACCACACTCTCCTAGAGATGTCAGTGAACTGTCAACTTCTTTTTCCTCTAGGTGGCAATCTTCTTCAAGACCCAACAGGCAACATTTATCCTCTCGTCCTTGAAGGTCTTATTCATCTTGTGGCCTGGACCATTTCAGAGGATCCTGGAATGTCTCAGGACTTTTAGATACTTCTGGTGACCTACTATGGAATTCATGGGCTCCAGGCACCAGATGGTCTTCTCTCTTCGCTTGGTGCATCCAGAATAACTGGTGTGTGGAAAGGGATAGTGATAGGTGTGTGATAGGGATTAATATTATGATTTATAACTGGTGTGTGATGGGGATTAATATTATGATTTATTTATCGTCACTCTTTGACCAAGGTGAGTCTTACAGGTCAATTAACATTTTTAGTTCGACCATTTCCACTGCTTACGTCCCTGTTGATGATTCTTCTATTGGCCAACACCCATCCATCTGCAGATTCTTACATGGCATTCAATGCAGATGTATTTTCTTGTATGGAAAGTTGCAGATCTATATTCTTTCTAGAATCTCTCCCTATAGCAACGTTCATCCAAATTGGCCCTACTTCTATGTTTAATCTCTTTCAGGAGAGTCTCAGACATACCTGCATTTGATTTGTATACTATGAAGGTGTTCATTTTTCAGTCAACCATTGCACGAAGGCTCACACTGTTTTCCTGACAGATATTATCTTTGTGTGGCTCATTGTCCATATCTTTAGGCCCTCTTTTCATCTCTTATGTCTGTCCTCATTAACCTTTATCACACCCTGTGATTGCTCAGTGGATTAGCTGGCTTCTATCTATGGTGGGTATTAATTCCTCTTTTAGGGTTCATTCTGTCAGAGGCAATTCCCTATCAGACATTTTATCTTCTGCCAGTTGGTTAAGGGATTCTGTCTACTGCATGTTTTATTTCTAACCATCTTCTCATTTGTCTTTTCCCCTTGTTTCCAGGCATTAAAATAGCAAATATGAAGTCTCCTGTCTTGCCATACAATTAGGGATTATTCTAGCTTCAGTGACCGAATAATCTAAATTTTATTAAAGATAGGATGCAAATATTTCCCCTCTCTGGATATTTTCATGTTTTATTTCTGGTCCATTTTGTTTTGGTTGCCTATTAACTGCATTGTTCTTTACCTTTTTTTATTTTTTTATTTTATTGACACATTTTTCAATAATTTTATAAAACAATGAACAATGAATAAATGTTCATACAATAAATAAAAAACAAACAAACAAAAGAAAAACAACCTATGGGTATAAGAAAGTTAAAAGAATCCAGTAATAAATGTTGTATATGTACATGTTGAAAAAACAAAGATAAAATAAATTATTTAGGAATAAATAAGTCTCTCATTTTTTCTTTGTTTTGTTGCTTTGATCAGTAGTTCATGTCTTAAAACATTATCTGTGTTCGAAGGAGGCCTAAATGTCAATTCGTACCTTTTGTTTTCAAATACGGAATGCAAAACATCATGAATCGTCAGTATAGATACAGATTTCCAGTAGCGGGGAATCACTGGCGTTGCATTGATTAATAAATGACATAACAAAATATTTTTATAGTTGAACAAATTATTAGGGAATTTGTTGAATGAGTTTGGGTGTTAAGGTTGGGATGGAATCAGGGATGGTATTAATTAAGTCATGAATAGATTTCCAATATGGTAAAATCTTATGACATGTCAACAATATATGACATAAAGATCCCACCTGGCCACATTCTCTCCAACATGTGTATGTATTGGATAATTGTAACTTATAGAGTTGGGAGGGAGTGAGATACCATTAATAAATTATTTTGTAGTGGGATTCTAGATGTTGCACACACCGTGGAATCCCCTTTAACGCTGATACAATACTAAACCCTCTTCTATTGCAAATTCATTACCCAATTCCCTCTCTTATTTTATCATAGAGTCAAATGTTTGGTGGACATCTCCGACAAAATAAGATCTTGCTCGGAAACCCCAAACCCCTCACTTACTAATTCTGTAATTTTTTCATGTATAGGGGAATCAGAGATATCTAAATTAAATGTACCCTTTAGTTGGGAAAATGGCATAAAGTTATTAGAGGAAAAAAAGTTTCCCCTAAATGAGTAGTAGAATGGGAAGCTCAATGCTCTATATTAAAATCTATTATATTGTTTTTTAATTCTGACAGAGGGTTGCTGTAGACCAAATTGTGGATGATTGTCCTTTAACTTTGTCTCTGTAGAACATTTAATTAGCTCTACTGTGTTGTTGCTTGTTTAATATTTATTTTGTCATATTCTGTGGTAGCCATTATAATTTCTAATACTGTTAGGTCAGATCGTTCGGTTTGAATTTATAATTGATGTATTTTCATCCCCATCAATATTCATCACTTCTTTGTTTCTGTGGTTCTATTTTTTTGACATTATTTTTCTTCTTTAAAAGTCATTCTGTCAGCTGCATCAAGAAAGATGAGTTGGTAGGAGCTTCTCAGACCTATAGTTCATCCGATATGCATTCTAAATTGGTTACATTTTTGTTAATTTATATTTAACTGTTTATTTGCTGCTGGGAGGTTTCATTAAAGAAGGTTAAGCAAATATTAGCCTCCTGTCTTTAATAAAATCCATATTATTTTGTTACTGAAACTAGAATAATCCCTAATTTGATACCATTTTTCTTTCTATTATAGTCTAAATAAGAGTCCAACAAGATATGACCTAATCACATCCAAATGTTTCAAGCATGTGATTTTAAGTGAGTAGAAACCTTCCATTATCTCATTATCTTATAATAAACATGCACAGACATTATGTTTTCTTTCTAGAGGTAACTTTTTATGGCAAAAATAAAAACGCACAAAAACAATTAGTAATTAATTATCTTGATCTTGATTATTGTATTGCTATTTCCTCCTAGAAATATGTAGCCAATGAGTTGGAAGTTTGTTCCATTTTGTGTGGTTAAGCAGAGACTCTATTTCTCTGATTCTCTTGCTAGCTCCTCCTTCAAAATGCTCATTTCAATAAAATGCCTTTTCTATGCCACAAAAATAACTGAATAGCACTTAGGTTATATTCAGGGTTTTTTTAGTGATAAGAAACTTATTAAAAATAAATAAAATGGGATCACATACCCTTTTGATATTTGGGATTCATGTATATGCAGTATAATGACAACTATATACAGTATTGTCTGTAATATATCTATTATACATAACTTTAAGATTATACCTTTGGATACCCACGATTAAAATATTTGATACTTTTGTTGCTTTCTTTAATAATGTTATCTTATTGCCATTAGTCATAATATTTATACATGAGTTCCTTCTCTCTCAACTCCTATACTTTTATTACATAATAAGTAGTCAATCCATTTATTGTGAGACAGTTTCAGGGCACTCCTGAAACTATAACCACTAGAGCAGATTAAGTGGGTATGGTAAAAACAAAGAAGCAATGTTACTTGCATACTATCACAAATTCCTATGTATACTTAATTAACTTGGGTTTTGTATAGTATGACTCCCATGGACATTTAAGTGTAAGCTCACCTGCCACATCAAGACAAAACCTCTTAGGCAAGTCCTACACTTACAATTCACCATGCTGTATTCTGATAGAAGATACAATCTCTAATTAGGAGTATCTTTTATGAATCCTACACACTTATTAACCCTTAATAGGGAACACATCGGGTGGGTGGCAGCACTGTAACATGGCTGTGTAATAGAAAAGCAAATACACACATACAAAATAAGCTCTGCACTCAAACTCTTACTACTCCTGGGCAGCAGCAATGGCTATAATATATAGATTTGCCTTTACTTGGCAGGTGTGCTTAAACTTAAAGGCCTATTGGAGTGATGCTAAAAAACCTCCAGTAACTTACTTTAAATACAAATATATGTAAATATATTAAATGTATATTAACACAGTATTTATATTATACAAAAATTATGTGATTTACAAAAACAAAATATCTATGGCACAAATATCACAAAGCAAATTTATTTCCTTTGGCAAGCCACATTTTGATGAATTATCTTTAAAATAGCAATTTTGACATCATTATTTCTTAGACTGTATATGAAAGGATTTAATAATGGGGCAATAATGGTATACATTACAGAGGTCAATCGGTTCTGATACACTGACTCACTTGATTGTGGTGTCAAATAGACAAAAAAAATAGAACCATAAAATATGATAACAACTAGAAAATGCGAGGTGCAGGTCGAGAATGCTTTCTTCCTCCCAGAACTTGAATGGATTGTTAGAACGGTTAAGATGATCTCTATGTATGAAACCATTGTTAAAATACATAGACCAACTCCAAGAGAACCCCCGACACAATATGTTACAAGTTCACTGACCCATGTATCTGCACAAGCTAATTTCAGTAGTGGAGGAATATCACAAAAAAAACTATTAATCATATTATTATCACAGAATGGCAAAGTGAATGTGAACACAGTTTGCAATAAAGCGTTTACTGAAGCCACAAACCATGATCCTGCTATAAATTGAGTGCAATTTATTTTATTCATTATAGTATTATATAAAAGTGGACGGCATATGGCGTTATATCGATCATATGACATAACTGCCAGTAGAATGCACTCGGTTGTGCCAAAAATGAACGTGCAGTACAACTGAAAAGCGCAGCAATAGAAAGAGATTGTTTTACGGTCAGCTAGAAACATTTCTAACATTTTTGGAGAAATGACTGAAACGTAACATATTTCGACAAAGGCAAAATTGGCGAGATTGAAGTACATAGGGTTGTGTAGATTTGAACTCAGATTATATGCAAGGATTATACATATATTTCCACTCACTGTAATTACATAAATAGAAAAAAACACTGCAAACAGAAAGGGTTGGAGTTCAGGAACCTCTGAAAGTCCAGCAAGGATAAATTCTGTTATTGTGGTATGATTTCCATAATTCATTTCTTCATGTGTATCTGTAAATTGAAAAGAATTTTGACCACAAATAAGGCATACATATTTTTAGCATAATATGATTTATAATATTGAAAAGGATAAATATATACACAGTATTCTTGACCAAGAAACAACCTGGCGAAAAAGTACAGGAAGGGTTACAGGGGTACTAAAGGGCCTAACCCTGGGATATGCAAGAAATAAAGAAAAATAAGGAGATGAGGGGAAAATACTTATCTTCCTAGAGAGGAGGCCAAATCCATCAAAACCAGTACCCCCTTAAAAACAGTACATATATAAGATTATGCAAAATAAGAAAATAATAAAGTTTTATTAATGATTAAAAAGGTGAAAAAAATACATCAAAACCTATCTACATACATACACCAAACTGCTTGGCCTGAAGCTATATATATGGCTAAATACTAGGGGATATAAAGCTACTGTGCTCACACAGGGCGCAACATAGTTACAATAAGTGCAATTAGATACCTAATATGTAACTCAATCTAGTGAAGAGTGTTGTATTGAGAAATGTTGCAATATAAATAGCAAAGCAACCGTAGATCTAACCAATATCTAGCAATCACAGCATGATAAATATCAGCTGCTATATTAAACCCCAATGAGTCAAATAAATTGAAATCATATGTAAATGGGAAAACAATATTCCCTCTATAACTACTAACTGTAACCAAAGTCCTAAAGGATCCAGTCGAGCTAACTAAATAAATAAAAATCTTCTTGTTAAGTACCTGGTCAGAGCTCTATAAGATAAATACATCGAAAGGACAGAAAGGTAAAGATAATTGAAAATAAAGTAAGGAGTAGTATAGAAAGAATCTATGAAGCTCACAGCTAATTATGGCTATAAAAAAGAGGACTCAGCCGGCAAAAGAGTCCCTCAATAGAAAGCAAAATATGGCATAACAGGCTAGTACTAAAGCAGTGTGTAGAGGTAATAAAACCCACAACCCGACGCGCGTTTTGGAGATAAAAGTCGCCTTTCTCAAGGGCACGAGCAAAAAATATACACCTACTTCCTCTCTCCTTTTATGCAGCTGGCGCCAAATCCTGTAGCCAATAGGATGTACCTAATGCCGACCGCCAATACAATTCAGCGGTGGGAGGTTCCAAGGACCGGTACTCTGCAAAGTCCGAGTGAGTAGGAATGGTGTATCGGGGCGCAAGCAAAGCTGCGTTTGCATGTATAGAATTGGACGTGCAAAGATATTAAATGAAGGTTATGCAAGCCTTGTATCAAAAAGATATATCTAAGCATCCACATTAATCTTACCAAAAGCCCCCTATAGGGGTCTAAGAACACCCTATAAATTGTCTATATATAAATCACTGTAACTCAGCATAATCATACATTATTAAAGGTATATCTATCCAAATCACATTTGCTAGAGTTGCTCATAATATAGAATAAACCTATAAATTGGGGGATCTTTTTCAGAAAAAGAAATAAAGAGGGGGAGGGAAAAAAAAAACCACAACCTAAATAGTGAATAATAATAATCTGCAAGTATGATAGTTAAAAAAGGAAAGAAAATGTGAGTGGTATCAATCATAAATGAACATAAATATGGATCATTACGGGTCCAATATCAAGAATAATAGAGAGCATGTCATATATCAAGAATGTCAATTATCAAGAAAGGCAGTCGGGCAATAAAGTGGACCCACTAAAAGGAAAATTGTTATAGAGAAAATGGTAATGATAAGAGATGATAGCAGTACCTAGAGAACTCACGAAGAGTTATTCACTAGTGTGAACTGTTGGCGATTTAATATGATTTTCACATTTTAGTGGATAACAGCAGACAGCTATTGTCGGTTTCTATTCTACCAAAATACGTCCTTTACTCAAACTCCCACTACTCCTAGGGACATCAATGACTATAGTACGCATCAGCCTCAATGCATACAATAAAAAACATAGAAAAAAGTTACTTGTGCACTATCACAAATCCCTATTTACATTTAAATAACTGGATATTTTTTTGTATCATTCCAATGGTTATTTAAGTGTTAGTTTACCTGCCACCTAATGGGCCATTGGAGTGTGTAAGGTTGGGTAAGAATTTTTTAAAAGTGCTTAATTTGCCATGGGCAACTATTCATTTTTCAATCCAGTTATTCAAATGTGAAAAAGAATTTGGGATAGTGTGCAAGTAACTAATTTCTTTCTTTCTTTTTTTTTTTTTAAGCTTGTGTTAGTTTGTCTATTTTGGCCTCAAATTTTAAATTTTATTCATAATCTTTGAAAATGGATGTGAGGAAAAGAATAATAAATAATTTCAAATAATGTATCACCATTTGAACTGTATGCTGCAGATTGACAAATACAAGAAAATGTCTTATTTCTTTAAATAAACCTGATGTGACTTTTTAGGTGTAGAAATTGTTATCCAAGTGAATAATTAAATAATAAATTTTTGTGAATAATTACATTGTGTCCATTCTGTTAACATCAAAATCATAAAATTGCAATTATTTCAAAATGTATAAAATATTAACAATAATATAATGAAGGTATTTGTCAGGATTGCGCTCAATATTTAAAAAATTCAAACATATTTTTTAGGTTTGGAAAAGAAAAAGTATTCTTTAGTTATCTAATATTTAGGAGGTATTCAGACTTACTATTTTATGAAATGAATATTAAGTAGCTAATGCTGAAATAAAAAAATACTACAACCCAAAAAAAAAAACACTTTCAGGAATATTTACAGAGTTGTGACTAAAATCTCTTTGCACATTAAGACATTATCAATATTGTACTTAAAGGAACAAATAAACATATTATCCCTTTTACCTAAAGTAACTTACTGTTTGCTGCAGTTTATCACTACTTGATAAAGCAAGATCACAAATGTAGCAAGTCATATTAGGAAGCGATGAAAAGTCTGCATATTTTAAATATGAAAGCACAAACATCAAATATTAATGGAACATAAGCTGTATTTACCCGATAAGCACAATATCTGTTATATTTAATAGTATTAAAAAGCCCTTATTGTGTCATGATGGGGACTAGCTTCTCTTACAAATTAAAAAATACATTTTCTAGCAAACAATGTGACAATGTGCAGATAATTAAATGTGCAAGATGCAGCACTGATAAAAATTGTTAGGACCATGCCAAAATACCAGTTTCAAAACAAGTCTGTAAGGTTTATAACTGCAAATTGCAGTGAAGTGATTTTGAATGTCAAAATTTAGGCCAGTTAGCTAAATGTAATGTGTGTCTAAATCTGAATTGGAGAATTTTCCTAAATCAGCTATTTTTTTATTTGGTTTTATTTAAATGTTGTTATATGGTTTTCAATTCACTACAATTTACTGTTTCAATAGCCTTAGTTAGAATGCAAAATGGATGATCAAGAAAAAAGTCTCTATCTGAGAAGAAGAATTTAAAAATCCCTCACTAACTTGAGCGATGGCATTATATTTAGCACCATACATTCTTGAATATGAGCTGATATGTTACAGGTAAATAAAACAATATTTTGCAAGAATTTTCCAATACCATGTATAAAGGATCTTGGCATCCAATCTCTGTAAGTTGCTTACTGTGGAGCCTATCATGCTAAGTTCGTAACCATTTTCATCTGTATATTATGGTCAGGAAACAAATTAAAACGTTTTCTATTTAATTTATAGAGAAGTGAATACACTGGGGTAAAACATTGCTCCCGTGGATATAGACCTTAGCTTTGAAAATAATGTTATTGTTGTTTCAACAGTGTTTTAACTTACAATTTACTATAAGAACGAATGTAAGGATAAATAGTCAATTTTGCACCACTTTTCTCCTGCTGGGAAGTACATAAGTGAAGCCATCAGACAATTGAGGGATTGTCTAAAGCTAGATTTAAATTTATGTTTTAAATTTAAAATAGCCCCTTTGTATATCATTGACATCCTTACTTTTAACAAAAATTTGAACAGAGTGCAAATTTTCTTTTAGTTGATTTTGTAATGTTCGTAAAACTCCCATCGACGTAGTCGGCCATTGTTTCGGAGATAGATTCCATTATAAATGTATTTGTGTACAATTTAAAAAAAATCACTTCAGTGCATGTTAGTAACATTACCACCTCATAAGCCTACTTTTCTAGCACCAAATTCTTATTCTATATAGGTAGACAATTTAGAATCTAAGTGTTTAATTAGATCAAAAGCTTTTTTGAATTCAGATATCTTATGCAGTATTTGATACCATGTGTGTCTATGTGCGGCATTTGCTACAAATAGGTCACTGTCACATTTATGTCATTGATTCTCATTGTGGCATTTATCCTCATCTGAAGCAAACTAATGGGATCCTCCTCTGCCT